ACTGACATGGTGCACGGTTTTTATTTAAGGTCTGGGCAACTGGTCAATGGAAAATTGGTGAGTGTGTTATCGTTTTCCAATTTTCGGGGTATATGTCGTCGTTATCGTTTTTGGTGAGTGTGTTGTCGTTTTCCAATCAAAAACCCTGCGTCACGAGTCCAAAGTCGATCCTTTACATATCTCCTATGACCGATAATTGTAGACACGCACCTGCTAGGCAAACTGCTGGTCTCTGAAGCCTGTGCGAAGTTCGGTACCATGAAGCTTGGGCGCATGAGTGTGGCATTTGCAAACAACGCTGACAGAGTTAGCCAACCTCTTATCAAAGAAAACAAGAGCAATTTTCAACATCTTCCCTATTGCAGGCAGGCTCCTAGTACTTGCTCTCGCTCCCGAGATTCTTGCAGCCACCGGTGCGTCAGGACTGCCTGCATGTGCGGCCTGGCGCAGACATTGAGGAATCACAGATTCGTAGGCTTCGGCACAAGCCACAGTTGCAGTGCCCAGCATGCACACAGAGAGTTGGGTCGTGGCCTTGTCGGCTCCTCAAAGGTCAGTAGGTCTTTCACCAAATCCTCAGCTCGTGGTAAAAAACCTTCACTTGCGGACATCTTTCCAAAACAGTTTTGCACAAGCTTGAAAGCTCCGGGCTACTCTCGGCCCCGCCCTCTGAAGCCCTTCTAGGTCTCATTTTTTTTTCCGTACTTCCATTTTTCATTTTCTTAATATTTTTCTGGTTCATCTTCCTGCTATTACATAGAATACTATAGGTCGTAATTAAAAACAATGAAAATTGGGAAAAACAAAAAGGATGAAATCATGGACATCATGAAGAAGCCTGCAAAATCATGTGAGAGATGCTGAACATCATGAAAATAATGGAAATCATGCAAGTAATGAAAGATCATGAAAAATACTGAAAAACATACAAAATCTTGATGAACATGATGAACAATCATGAAATCTGATGAAAAATAACGAAAAATCCTTCATAGGCATGCAATTGATGAACAAATAAAAAATGAAGAAATGTGAAGAATATTGATGAAACATGATGAACAGTCATGGAAGCTGATGAATATTCAGGAAATACTTTGGAAAGTCATGCACATGATGAAAATTAAAAAATGAAAGCTTACTCGCAATCCTGATGAAACATGATGAACAATCATGAAAGCTGATGAAAAATCAATGGCAAATCTCGGAAATCATGAACAACCATGAAACATGATGAGAGATGATCATGAAAATCAAGAAAATGTTGCTCTTTCTCTCCTATTCCGAGCTTGCTTGCTTGCTTGCTCGGTTGCTTGCGTGCGGGCACCTTGCTTGCTGGCTTGCTTGCTTACTTCTTGCCATCCTACCTCTGTGTTCTTGCTTAGCTAAAGCAGAAAAAATAATACGGACAAAATACCGCCACCGCCCTTCTAGCACCTAGCAGAGGGGCAGTAACCAGAGCTGGGGAGTGTAAGAGAAAAGGATCAGTTATCAGCCATGACAGGACATCAGGATTTCTTTGAACGGATACCGTTGGCTCCAGGCTGCATCGGCAACTGCGGAGCAACGCAAACGAGCCAAATCAGGCCCTCGTCTCTGCCGCTCGATATAGGCCTTGAGCTCCTGGGTTTCTTGCTTCCCACACTCCTCCATCCCTACTTTGAAGAAAACACATCTGAATGGAAGCATGGGCTCTGTGCGAGACTCGCCCAACGGAGGCCGGAATGGATAGAAGTAATTGTAATAGCCTGATCCAGGACAAAAAGGCTTTCTCCAGAGCACGTGCACCGTCACCTCCTTCTGTCCAATTAATTAATTCTCGAAAGCCATGTGCTCTATGGATGCGTCAGCACAGGCTGCAAGCCTGCCATGCTGATTGTGCAACCTAGCTGTTCATGTAAACACCTCCCCACTGAGGACGGAATGCTGGCACCCACGCGTGTCCATAAGCTTCCACCTGACTTACTTGATGCTAACGCTGCACTATGCCGGCAGCGAAACAACTTGGGTCATCGTCTTCCGGCTTCGCATCTTCGGGGAGAGGCGTGTCCCTCAGGCGTCTTGGCCGTGTGCACAGCAGCGCGTAGAGACCTCAGTTGGTCAAAATGCGGCCATGTCATCTCCAGAAGCATGAAGCTGCAGTGGCAAAAAGCTCCGCGATTTTGCCAAGCTACAGCAGCCCAACGACCACCTCAACTGGTCTCTCTAGGGATGCAAAGACGATGCAAGGCAACAACCTCTGTCTCCCGGCAATTCAGCAAAACAAGCTTCCATTTTCACTGAGCTTGCTGCACATCACACTTGGCCTTGGTGTATCGAGCGCTCTGAGCATTACCTCCCTTCTAATGCCTCCAATCTTTCTCTCCAAAAGTGTGCAGGGGAATTCTCGGAGACTTGACTCATTGTGCAGCCCACGTCGCACAAAAACTGCCACGTATGACCTGAGGAGATGGAAGCTGCTTGGGACATTCGGATCCTTTTGCAAACACGATCTCCCTGCCTCTGGAGCCATCGTGGCCAATGTGCCTGCAGCATCTGCTGACTTGAAGGAGTCGGCCTGAGGCACATCAACAGTCCATCCATTAGCTCAGAAACTGGACGCAGCATTGCTTACTGCTTTGCTTGGGTTTGGGAGGTTGCCTCGGAAGGTGGGAAAAGCTCCGCTAACCCAACGTCGATGACGACGGCTTCTGGTGGATCAATGGAGCAAAGCCTGGAGCTGAAACATGCAAGGTTTTCTGGAGAAGGTATTGGAGCAGATTTCCGTCGCTTCGAGGCTTAGCTGAGTTGCATGATATTCTCCAGCTTCAAGTCCTTGTGCATTACGCCCTTCGCATGACCTGATGCAATGCAAAGATGTGTCGCGGGACGACAACGTGCATCATTTTTTTGAAGGGTTTGTTGGAGAAAAACACCCTTACTCTAATCGACTTGCAGCATTGTCAGCATCTTCATGGCTGGACTGTGCTTTCTTGCCAAGGTGCAGTATGCCACCCCTTCGCATGCTTGCCTGAAAACCGCTGCAACCTTGGAGGTACGCGCACAACAACTAATGCACGAAAGCAACTCAAAATAAGCATGCAAGTGCCAGCTAGTCTCCCATGCTTCTGGTAGTTGCTTCTTTTCGGCATACCTGAAGGTTGACAGCACCATGGCCAGCTTCAGGCAAAGGCAATGCATGTGCCAGGTTGCGATTTCTCCACGGCCTCCAGCAGGTCTCCACCTCCATCTGCTCTCACTCAAATGCTTTGCGCAATCGCTCATGAAACTGCCCTGCCTGGTAGAAGGTCTGTAATTAAGTAGAGGGACCGCGAGTCCGCATAGTACTCCTCAGCCGCGCAGCGGGGCCCCGCACCCCCAAAAAAATATGCTGTTCTAGAACAAATTCACAGAGGTAATGATCTGAGAAATGATGAGTAATGATTCGAAATGTAATGCGGTGAGAACCAGCTTGTTAGCTGCGGCGTGGGCGGCGAAGAGCCTCAAGACAGCCGGGTGGTCCAAGGACTTGAGCTTGTCGATCTCTTCCATGATGAGCTTCAAAGGATATCCTCCACTCAGAGCCTTTTGCTTGTCCACGATCTTCATCCTCAGCTCCACCCACGCTCCATCCACCGTCACCCAATTCGCTTAGACGGGCCTTGCAAGCAAGCATCACTCTCATGGCCTTGGTCTGCCGGCATTGGACTTTCCGAACCACACCAAAGGACCCCTTGCCAAGGACGCCCAAAACGCGGTAGTGGTCCTGCATAAGGCGCTGCATCGCCGTACTGCATTGCAAGCCGCTGTGAAAAAGCCTTTCTGCTCTGCCTCGGGCCGCCCGTGTCTGCGGCTGATGAACATCTCCCGGCAAAAGCTGGCCTCGGGCTGGTCCTCTGGCCTGGCCAAGCAAACCAGCTATGCCCCCTTGCTTGTGGGGAAAATCATTTCTTTTCTTTTTTGTTTGGGCCTCGTTTCGTCTCCGTCTTGCAGGAGCCTCCACTTCCTCCATGCTGAGGCCGAGCTTTCTGGAGGAGCAAGCGGATCCTGGTCTTGCTTCTCCAACTTCACGGGCTTCTCTGGCGGCTTTTCCGCTGACTTCTCGGCTCTCGGTTCGCCTGCAATCATTTACATTAGGACAGGCCTCAGCAGGATACCAACGCCTTGCAACAATGCTCTAACCTTCTCGAGCTGCCCTCGCCCTGATCCCTGGCGGTTCCTTTCCTTTCTCCACACGCCCTGAGATTTGTGAAGCGTGAAGCGTTCAACTCTACAACTGCACCTGTGTGGACAGCTTGGCAAACGGCTCGCTGCGGGCTTTCTCACAGGACTGTCATTGGCTTCTTGGCCTGGGCTCTGCATGCTCTGCGCGCTCCAGCAATGTAACGAACAGCTTTTAGACCCATCCTGCACAGCTGCACAGGCCCGGGGATACGGCTCTTGCGCCGCAGGTCCTTCAGGTCTTTTGCCTCCTCGCCTGCACAAACTCGGCAACATCCAGCCAGACCAAACGGATCCTGCCGCAGCAGCCCAGCCTGTTTGCCGCCTCCTGGCCTCCACCTTGACCTCTTCACCTGCACTCTGTGTGCCAGCCCAAAACTATTGAAGAGTGCTGACCTTCAGCAAGCATTAGGGGCAAAGCCATTTCCTTCCCTCAAATGCCAGAATGCGGCCTCTCATACGGACTCTAGCCTCTTCACCTTCAGAGTTGTAGCAGCCAGGCAAAGCACTTCGCTTGCAAGATGCCCTGCAACCAAGCCATGCGCCCCTCGTTCTGCCATCAAGCACCTTTGCCTCATCACCTGCGACGTGCTCAGGCTCAAAGCTAATGCTGACATCTTAATCGCACAACCTGCACAGCCACTGGCGCCTCTAGCTTTGATGCGTGGCTTGGCATCCTCTCCTGCAGAGTCTTCTTCTTTCTGAAGCCAGAACATGTGAAAACATATAGAAAAACCACTCAAGAATTGTGGTGCCTCTGGCCCTCATTCCGGCCAATCTTGCGTCATCGCCTGGACGGGTGCAGACGGATCACCCCAAGGAAAACTACAAGTCGAGCTAAGCTTTGGCTAGCAAGTCCTGCGTGAGGCACAGCATCAAGTACCATATGTCTGCCCAGCTGGTGGCGTTACCCTGGTGCCTTTGGGCCGGGCATCTTTGCGCTCTTCTCCTGCTCCAAGACTGCTCAGGTTTGTGTGTGAGGTATGCCTATGGCATCATCTTGCCAAACACTCTGGAGGAGTGCCTGATTCCATCAGTTCCAGCACTGTCCATCCTAGTAATACGCCCCTCAACCAAAATCCAAACCGCTCAGAAGCAAGCAAGAATTATTCAAGCAGTGAAGGTCTGAACCCCTACGAGATCCGTATGCCGGAAGAAAACACACTCCTCGGCCCTTGGCTTCTCGTCTCTCCTCTGCTGGTGGACCTCCACCAGCTTTTGGAGCTACAAAATGTGTAGGAATCGACCGGGAATGCCAGATTGTTGGAGGCTGCTGTGACACCCCGACTGAAACTTGGTGCCTCTCTCAGCGATTCTATGGTCTGCTTTCCGCTCCTCACCTCGCCATTCTAGCTGCACACCAATGCTTTTGAACGAGAGCTCAGGGAAAGACCTATGGCTTTCGCATCAGACTTTCGCTCTTCGCCTGGAGCCACCACATCTGGCCACAACCTTTGCGCGCATTCGCCACATGCCTGCGCTTCTGATGTTGGCTCTTGCATCCTCACCTGAGGGCAAATGTGCAGTCATACTGCAGCAGAGGCCAAGGCGAGCAGGCTGGGTCATCTGCTGATGCGTCTGGCATCTGCTTTCTTTTCTTGCCCTGCGCTACCCTCCGCTCTCACCATGGGGATGAAGCTGAGAGTGGGGAGCAAGTTCCTTCCTTCATGAGTTAAAAAAACTTTGCCTGGAAGCAAGCAGAGCAGAACCCGGACAGGGTAAAGTATGTCTTTGGAATTGGGGTTATGGCTGTGGTAGCATCGCAATACACAACTGCTAAACGGGCATGGCTATTGAGCTGGCAACGGGCTCCGCAATTAAAGGTTTTGCCCGATTGGCTCTGTGAGGCTTAAGGGCGCGGCTAATGCTTGGATCAGCTTTCGCTTCACCTGCGAACAAATACTTGGAAGGTTTTCAAACACTAAGAAAACCCGAGTGCCTCCAGCGGCTTGGAGTTCAGAACCTGCCATTTGAAGAGTAGTGTCTCTCTCTTCCACCTGTGAGGTCAACTCCCCAAAGTCCGTTTTGTCCCAAGCACCTCTGCTGGGGACGTCCTCTGCTTTGCTTTCGGTTCCTTAGGAGCTGCTTGCCAACAGGGCCAGGAGATTGCTCCATTGCTTGGGGAAGCGTGTGACGCTGGGAAACGGTGCTGGCAATGATTGCAGCAGAGCTGCTACTTCTGCTTCGGCGAAGATCATCAGCTTTGCTTTCCTCCCCGAGACCTGCTAATTCAAACTCACAGAGCTCCGAAAAGCTCTCCGAAACCTGAATTGAGTTTTGAGGCTGTGCTCAGTGTCAACTTGCCTTCCAGGTTGCCGGAGGCCAGGCGAGTCCAGGGCAGGTCCACGGGCGAGCCGGGCACCGGCACCGGGGGCGTGGGCGATGGGGAATCCCCGACCTTCACCTCCAGCCTTCAGGCGCTTTAGGCGCTTGAGCAGCATGTCTTTGGTGACATTCTACTCTACAATGCCCAAAGATGCAACCTCCGCAGTTTCTCATGAGACGAGATGCAGTTGAGTAGGCTTCAGCTGTCTTGCAGGTTGCTGCGACGGCGTTGGGCTCTGGCTTGCTGATGTTGCAATCACAGACGAGGCTGCATGGTCGGGTGGCGATCCTGGCAAGGCACCTTACACATGTGCTTTTCCTTAGCAGACAGTGTCCTGTCTCCCTTGCCTGGAACCGTTGTGGCCACTGAAGAGGCCGTTCGACCCAAGCGCTGCTGCATATCCTTCCAGACTGGCGCAGCCGCATCCTCGGACCTGATCTCAAGCACCAAAACCGAACTCCTTACAGAACAGGAACCTGACATAGCCTGCCTCAGTAAGCGCGGCATTTGAGCAGCAGCAGGCCCAGGACCAGGAGGATAGGCAGTTGGACTAAGAGAAACGCTGGGGAAATACCTCGACTGTACAGTGACATGATGCTTGCTTTGGATCATTGCGCATTTGAGCCAGCTGCCTCTGCGTGGCCGTCATCGCGATGGGGACAGCTGCAACTGATGGCCTCGGAAACTGTCAGCCCAGCAATCTGATACAAGCTGGTCTCAAGCCTCCTTTACTCAAAGTGGCTGGAAGGGCAGCCCACCCATTGGCTGCGGTGTGGCTCGTCCTGGCAGCTAGGAGCTTGGGTCCCTTGATGCTCACCTTTCTAGAAGGCCTCCATAGTGGATCATTGGCTGTGCCATGGTTGGAGCCATGGCTGGAGCCATTGGTTGCATCGGTGGACCCGCGACGACACGCGTTGGACTTGGTGATCGCGTCATTCGGACGCGGCGACCACACATCTGAGCTTGTGTGCTCAAGGGGCTCGCAGGTGCAGCCTTTGGCATCACATGCACTTCTAAACAGTCCGAGAAGCAAGCCCAGAAATTTCCCCATCATGCTTGTCACACGAACCGAGGCATTTAGTTTAGGAAGAGACCCAAGCACCCAAGCAATGTTCTTGGCGCGCAGCTAGGTGTGGGGCAAGCCCCACGGGAGGGGCCCACCTCAGAAAGCCAATGGTGAAGTTTCGTTCGGGAATCCCACTAGACCTGATGCGTTTGCGCCGGGAGCTTGGCTGCATGGCTTTGACCAGGAGATGGGCCAGGGTATCAGTAGGCCACTCGAGCCCAGATGGCAACTGCAAACCTGGCGAATCCATCCCAACTGTGGCACTGAGGCAGGTGTGCTTGGAAGTTTGTTCTTGCGAGCAAGGCAGTACGTGGAACATGCGCACGCTTCAGATTCAGGGGGGTCAGAGGAAACATGTCAGCCAGGACCTCAGGCAAGCAGCTTGCAAAACCTCACCCAAGGGACATGACATGACATGACATGACTTCAGAATGGTCAAGGGCTGTGAATGTCCATGATGGAAGACTCCCCTTTCACACAGCCTCACACTGGCGCCTGCAACGGTGCAGAGCCGTCTAAGTCTAAGGCTGAGCTCCGGCAGTGAAACGGCACGTACATCAACGATGCAGGTTGCAACGGTTGCACACGTTTTCGATTTTTCAAGAGGGCAGTCGCTTGGCGATGCCGTGACGCCGTGGCCGCTGCTGCGTACGAATGAAGTAGAGTAACCCGTCCACAAGATAACTGAAACAACGCACCTAGCGACGTTTGAATCAGAACAACAACTGCCAGTCGGTGTAAATGAAGCGGATGCACCACACTGCTTCTTGCGCCTTGCATGGCTGCCATAGGATACATCTTTAACTCTGGTCCGTTGCGATCCAGTTGTGCTGCAGCAGGCACGTGCCAGGAATGGCAACATGCAGCAGAGTGTCCCGTGTAGGGAGCTCGCAATCTTCCACGATTCAGTGAATTAGTCTTGAGAGGCCTTCTTGAATGCTTCATTGGTAGATCCTGGTGTACAGTAGTCATAAGTGCCTCAAGGAATTGGATTGGCATCCGTCACTCAGCATCAACACCTGCGCCCTGTCTGACCTCAGCACTTCGCTATCTCAACTTTGGCTGCAAAAGCACGTATGGCACAGCCTCTTCAAACAATTTCCTGTGGCCAGTCTTGATGGCAGTTCAGTGCTAACAGTCAAGTTTTCACACTAAAGGAATGTATAGGCGTGAGCATTCATACACCCTCACCGCCCCCACGCAATGGTCAATGATATAGAATGGGCGGAGTGTTTTTTTGGCCGGGGCCTGGAATCGAAGGACACTTCACACGAGAGCGCGATTCTGAAGCAAAAGCTGTGAAGACTGATGAAAAACATGAAAAATCATGAAAAACGAAGAAAAATGAAAGATAATGATAGAAACGTCATGACAACTGTAGAAAATAATAGAAGAATTATGAAAAATGTAAAAAACATGAAAATGATGACAAATCATGAAAAATCATCAAAAATCATGAAGAATCATGAAATTACAAGGAAATGATGAAAGACTGAAGAATCATGAAACATAATGAAAATGATAGGACATGATAGAAATGATAAAAAATTATGAATGAAAATTTATGGAAAATAATGAAAATTGTGAAAATGATGAAAACTGACACAGATTGATAGAGAAAGTGATGAAAAATGACAAGAAATAATGAACATGAAGAAACATGGTGCACGAATGAAACTGATAGAAAACAAATGAAAATAATGAAGAACATTATGAACCCTATGAAGACAACGATAAAACATATGAACACTGTTGTTGAACATATATAGAAAACATGAACAACCATAGAGATGATGATAACATGAAGCATGGATCGCATTGCAAAAAAGGGCGGGGGGGTTGGGGGGGGGCAAGCCCCTCCCCTGATTGCAAACAAACTTATCTACATAATTCAGCACGCTTGGGTGGCCTCACAAAAACAGGGGGGGAAGTGTCCATGGAAAGTAATGAGATGATTCAAAACGATGACAATTGCAGGCATGCATGGCCATTACAAAGGCGGGGGGGTTGGAAGGGGGGCGCAGCATTACCCATCTGCCAACAAAATGATCTGCATAACCATCCCTTACTGATCATCAACTGCAACTACTACTAGCCGCCCTCCCGGCCCCCCCTCCTTGGCCTACACTTTATTTAAAATGGCATATAAATTCCCCGAGGAGGCGGCCAGTAGCAGTAGTAATGTTAACGTGGCGACTGCTGCCTGGACCTAGC